CCCACTGTTGTAAGTCCTAGGCAATCCTAGTGTAAACACTTCCTCCATTAGAAACTGATTTTACAAGAGCGCACTACCTGTATGCAGAAAGTCTATGATTCTTTGGTTACATGGTTCATTAGATATGTAATGATAGCAATTACAGAGTGAAGGCACATATTGTGGGGAACAATTTATAGAGCTTTTATTTGTCTTTTAGTTAAAAAATAATGGTATCAGAGTGACCAATTTCAAAAGAAAAAGAAGGAAAACTAACATGAGCAGGAAGGAGAACATAAAACCCACCCAGGCAGGTCATTCTGTGAATCCTTGCATGATGCCACACCAAACCCACTGCCATCGAGTCCATAACAACTCATGGAGACCCCATAGAATAGAGCAGAGCAGAGCAGGGCAGAGCAGGGCAGGGCAGGGCAGGGCAGAGCCAAACTAACTGCCTCATAGGTTTCCTTACAGAAGCAGGTGGCCTCATCTTTCTCTTGAGGAATGGCTGGTGTGTTTGAACTGCCAACCTTCTGGTTAGCTGAGTGCTTCAATTACTGTGCCATTAAAGTCTACCTTTTAGTACCTTTTTTTAGTTGATAAATATTTACAGTGTTCTACTGGGTCACTAGTCTTGGAAACAATTCATATTAAAAATAGCCAGAGTGTATTTCCCATCAATAAGAAATAGGCAGACTTTACGAGAGAAGTGCACACTGTGGAGCGCTGAAAATGCATTTGTACTATTTGTTCACTTCCTTTTGCTGTGTACAGTTTGAATGCTTTCTTTCCAAGTGTGAATGGACACAGATTTTGTGAGATTTGTAGTAGTTAGACTAAGAGCCTGAGTAAGTTAGATGGTTGCAAAGAAACCTTGGGTTACTTTGCACCAAAAATCTCCCCACATTTAAGATAAAATTGGCAATAAACTTAATGAAAAAGATTTGTCTGTCCATTTAGATAGATAATTGTATATATACACACACAGAGAGAATACAGTTGCTTAAGTCTAAATCATATATTATACAATGTACCCATTTTAAGTGTAGTATGTGTGGTAGATTTTGTACAAGAATTTTAGCCTTTAGAGATCAAAAGATGTCCTGAGAGGCTCCTAGCTCCCCCTCTTGCATATGTTATTTAGACTAATTGAGACACACCACATAGATCATCGGTGGCGAAGTAAGGAGGGGATTCTTAGCTTGTTGTTGTTGTTGTGTACTGTCATGTCAGAACCGACCCATAGCTGACCCTCCAGTGGGTTTTCAGAGGCAGTTAATCACATGGGAGGAGATTCTCCATCTTTCTCCTGTGGAGTAGCTCGTAGCCTCGAACTGTGTGCCTTTGGGATTGTAGTGCAGCTTGCCTCTAGGCTAGCAGAGCTCCCTGTTGTCTAGTTTAGAGGTATTAATAAAAATCAGGCTATTGATTTGTCCATTATAAGTGGAAATTCATCCTTGCAGAGGGAAAAAAAAATATGCAGCAGTCTGTATATCAAATACAAATCATATGCACAGAATGTGAAGGGGGGACTTATGAACAGTGGTACAAAGGAGACGGAGGGTTATAGTGAATGGAGAAGTATATTGAAGAACAGACGTGCTAGGTATTCAAATATTTCCAAGCAATGTTACCTACCATCTGGATGCTAACAAATTAAAACCTGTAAATAAATTTTCAATGCTTCCTTTAGCAATAGAAGCTGCTGTTGTCATATAGATTTTAATATTAAACATTATGGAATTTTCTTGCTTTAATGAGACGGCAGATCTAATTGGTAAATAAAGTAATGAATAAATTGTTAAAACAAGCAATAAAGTAACAGGACTCATAATGCTCAGACAAAATCAGTAAGTGTTGCTGATTTATAAAGTAAAAGACATACGCTATCTTCAGGTAAAAAGAATAAGAGAATACTCACTATGACTGACTGCCCTTTGGTAGGAGTGGAAAAGTCAGTCAGTAATATGTCAAGTGCTTAAAAATCTGCTTGCACCTGGTTCTCGTTTGTCCCCAGCTGAGAAACCAAAGACAACTTCTTTTTATTGCTTGTGGTCAAACAGCAAGTTCATTTTGCCATGGGATGATCAAACGGCCAGCCTCCTCCAGCTTGAGAAGGTTTGCCTTTCACTTTCAACTTGTTGAATCATCATTAACTCTAAAAAAATGTCACATTCCATTTGTGCAATGAAAATTTCACCACCGGTGACCGTTTGGGTGAAGTTTTTGTAGGTGAGGCCCTAAATCTTGTAGAGTACCTCACACATTCTCAAGGTCATTTGCCTTGTTTCCTTGTTTAATGACAGTTGTCGTCTAAGATCCTGGAGTCTGTCTGTGGCCTGACAGGCAACTTTGAAGAAACTTCCGTGTGTGGGGACATGCTTTCCTTTCTTAGATAGAAGGAGTTCACTTGGTGACTGGACACATGCAAATCACTTGACAAAATCCAAGATACACACATAGACAAAACATGTGTGTTCACATACACATATGTACACAACCTCATTATACACCCATACACACACACACACACACACACACACACACACACACTGTTTCCTCTATAGAGACAGGGCTTTTTTACCATGCAAAAGCAAAGCTCTTTTCATTGCTAACACATGAGTAAAGAAGGCTGTTTCATTACTCTGGGAAACCCAATTCCGAGAAGAGGCTGCAATATCAATTCAGAAAGACTCTTAAAAGTTTCTGGAAAAGGAAAACTGGCTTCTTTTGACCTGAGAAATCTTCATCTCCTTTATTACTTAATCATATTTTCCCTGTATGGGGAAGGTCTGAAATGTTAAAGCCCAACAGGTCTGGCATAGGGCCAAGTCCCTGATGGGCACTCTACAAATAAGAATTTCTGAAAGTAGATGTCAAGCTGCAAGATGGCTAAATTAAGAGATCACTTGATCCACAGTCTTAAGAAAAGCACAGTCTATCGGGCCAAGTCAAATAAATTGTGTGCCTTTTGGCAAGTAAGTCAATAACTAAAATAGATCCCTAATACCTGTCCTGATTAAGTTCTCAAGGTCAAAATTCAGAGACTGTATGCACAGACCTCTGAAAAGCCTTAACCAATTGTCCAAGTGATAAAATACTGCTTAAATAGCAAGTCTCCACAAAGGGTTTCTTACTTTAGGTTTAACTTTAGAGTTTCCCTGTAGATTAACCGGTGGAATAAGGGAAAATTTACAAGCAAGTCTGGATTACAAGTCAATGCACTGGCCCCTTTCAGGCAGCTCTGCTCATAATATATTAGAATATTTATTGTTGCCAATATTCAACATTTAGTTAACTACCAGTAGTTGAGGTGGGAAGAAGGTAGAAATATCTAATGGCATTCAAGACTAGCCCTGAGGTATAAGGAATCATTTTCCTCTTAAAACCTGAATGTAAATAGTTTGCTATTTTCAAACTATTTGAAAGTTGGTTTGCTATTTGACAGCACTGCCTCTTAAGAAAAGTGACTCCAACTTGTGCACTCGGTCTGGGGGTGTGGGGGGATGGGGGAATTGCATACCAATGAAGGAAGTTTTTTTTCCTTTTTCTTTTCAAAAAGAGGAGCGAACTGGTGGGGAGGGGTGGGCAGGGAGAAAAGTGCAGCAATGAATGAATGGAAATCCAAAATCTCTGTAAATGTTTATTAAAATTAATAAAAATGAAAAAAAAAAAGAAAAGTGACTCCAAGACTAGGTAATTTTCTCAAAAAGTAGTTTTTCAGAAGAGTGTGTTTTTTTTTAATTAAAAAAACACTAAAATACCCCAAATATTTACATATATGTGCTAGGTATTCTTCTAAACTGAAAAAAACCCCCTCATTGCCGTTTAATCAGAACTACCTCATAACTGACAAGCCATTCGGTTCCCAAGGCTGTAAATCACACAAGAGGAAATTGCTCATCTTTCTTCCTCCAAAAAGATTAAAGATCCTGGTGAATTCAAACTGCCAGAGAGGTGCTGCCTTTGTGTTACTAGAGCAACTCCCTATGGACGGGTCTACCAGAGCGTCCCATTCTTCTAAATGTTGTAGTTGTACACCATCGAGTCGGAACCGACCTATGGATGACCCTCCAGTGGGTTTTCAAAGGCAGTTATATCAAAGGAGACTGCTCATTTTACTCTTGTGGAGCAGTTAGTGGATCCGAACCGTGTACCTTTGGGTTGCCAGTGGAACTCCTTTCCACTAGGCTACCAGAGCTCCCTATTCTTCTAAGTGCTTTATTAATATTAACTCATTTTACCCTAATAATTGCAACAGGTGAAGTAATTTACCAAAAGGCACAGAGAACAACATAGTGGAGCTGGATTCAAATCCAGAACTCTGGATCTATACCCACTATACCAGGCAGTTACACTGTTTCTCATGAAGACCTCTCAGAACATGCAAGCTTATGGTTACCAGGGAGCTAGGGTGACCGAGTGGTAAGGAGTTGTGTTGCCAACCCAAAGAAAGGCAGTTCAAATCCATCGGCTGCTCTGTGGGAGAAAGGTGAGCAATCTCCTCCTGTATGATTAACAGTCCTGAAAGCCAGCTGGAGGTCAGCTATGAATTGGTTCTGAATTGATGCACAAAACAACAAATAACAATGTTACTTCAAGTTGGGCGTTAGTATCCAAAGAGAAAAGTGTTTTATTTTATCCACTTTATAAGGGCAGGGATATATGTCTCTAAATGTTCCCTTACATTAATTTCTTGCATTCTCTTGTCTCAATCACCAGAGAGGGGCTGACTCCTGACCACTCTGTCTCTCTCTTACACACACACACACACACACACACACACACACACTCTCTCTCTCTCTCTCTCTCTCCTTCGCCACACACATACACACACACACACACACACACACACACACATACACACACTCTCTCTCTCTCTCTCTCCCCCTCCCTCTCTCTCTCTCTCTCTCATTACCGTGCTTCAGTGAAGCTGTACAGTGTTTGTGATCTGGCATAAAAGCAGACATCATTTGCTCATTAAAGCTAAGTTTTCAGGACGTGTCCCACTTACTGACCTCCACTAACGGCCTGGGTTTGCGCTCCACTGCAAACCTGAAGTGGCAGAGTTCACAGTAGCTGGTGTTTGAGGACGACAGCCAGTGCTCCAGGCAGCTCCGATGAATTGTCCCCAAGGTCCCTGTACATTCACATGGAGAGAGCAAGTCCTCTTGGCTGCTGCCTTCATGGCAGATCCTGCACATTGGCCGGTCATTGAAGGGGCTGCAAGAAAAGGAGGGAGGCTTGCAGTCACTGGGCTGGAAGCTATCATCAAGGAAAAACCTTCAAGCTCCATGTCCTGGGACCCTCCCCAGTGGGAGCTGCTCTTCTTTCAAATCCCTTCGATCTATACTTGACCTGGACAGGGAAGCAGGAGAAATGCTGGGATCTTAGATATTCTGGGACACTTGTCCCTTCTACTTTTGCCAACACAAAATAATAAAGAGTAGCTATTATCAAAAGAGTTAGGTATGCCCTAGAGCTGAAAGTCAGTGTAAATAGGCAGCAAGTTAGTTTTTCCTTGATCACAGTTGAATTTAGGGAAATGAGCAAGGAAAAAAAACCCCAAACCCTATACAACTTTTTGTTATTGTTTTTATGTGTAATTGAGTCACATGCAACTCATAGCAACCCTATACACAATAGCTCTGAAGCCTGCCCAATCCTGAGTCATTCTCACGGTCTCTGACACATCTAACCCCATTATCTCAGTCACTGTGTCAATCCACCTCATCCAGGGTTTTCCCCTCTTGCATTGTCCCTCCACCTTTTCAAGTATGATGTTCTTCTCCAAGGACTAATCCTTCCTGGAAACATGTCCAAAGTATGTGAGATGCAGTTTCAAAATCCTTGCCTCCAAGGAGAAACTTGATTTCACCCTCTCCAAGACAAACCTGTTTATTCTCTTTGCAGTTCAGGGAATTTTCACCACTCTTCTCCAGCATCACAACTCAAAGACATTGATCCTCCTTCTGTCATCCTTAGTCATTGTCCAGTTCTCTGATGCATAGCAAGTAACTCAAAAGACTATGGTCTGGAACAGGCACATCTTAATCTCTAGAATGACATTGTTGCTCCTTAGCACTCTGGAGCGGTCCCTGCCAGCATATTTTCCCAATGTAATTTGTCTTTTGATTTTCTGACTGCTAGTGCCAAAGGTGTTAATTGTGGAACCAAGCAAGCTGAAATTATTAACAATCTCAATCTCCTCTCCACCTAGTAGTAAGAATCTTTGTCTTTCTGATGTTGAACTTCAACCCCCAGTCCTTGATTATCTGCAGCAAATGCTTCAAGCCCTCCTCAGTTTCAGCAAGCAATGCTGTCATCTGCATAACATAGATTGTTGATGAGTCTTCCTCCAATTTTGATATGAAGAGGAGTGGTCTCCTCTTCATAAAGCCCAGCTTCTGTAATGATCTGTTCTGCACATAGATTGAAAAGGTATGGAAACAAAATGCATCTCTGATGTACTCCTTTTTCAATTTTGAACCATGTAGTGTTTCCTTGCTCTGTTTTGACAATTGCTTCCTGGTCCAAGTATAGGTTTTGCATGAGCACAATCAAGTGTTCTGGAATTCCTATCCTTCTCAGAATTAGCCACAGTTTGTTGTGATCCACACAGTCAAATGCTTTTGCATAGTCAATGAAACACAGACATTCTTCTGGTTCTCTCTACTCTCAGCCAAGAGCTATCTGACATTGGCTATAATGCCCACAGTGCCACAGTATCTTCTAAACTCAGCTTGTATTTCTAATAGTTCTCCGTTGATGTCCTGTTTCAATAGTTTTTGGATCATCTTCAACAGGATTTTGCTTGTATGTGATATTAGTGATATTGTTTAATAATTTCCATATTCTGTTGGATCACAGGTTTGGGTATAAATCTCTTCCAGTCAGTTGGCCAGGCAGCTGTCTTCCAGATTGCTTGGCACAGCCTGGTGAGCATGTCCAGGGTTGCATCTGTTTGCTGAAATATATCAATTGGCATTCTATCAATTCCTGGTGTTTTGGGTTTTGTTTTGTTTTTTTGTGAATTCCTTCTGAGCAGCATGAACTTCCTCCTTCATCACCATGGGCTCTTGATCATATGTGGTTTCATGAAATTCTTCTGTGCCATCCAGTTCTTTTTGGTACAATGACTTTGTGTACTCATTCCATCTTTTTTTGCTGCTTCCTGGATCATTTATTATTCTGTCCATAGCATCCTTAAATATTGACACTTGAGGCTTGAATTTATTCTTCAGTTCCTTCCACTTAAGAAATGCTGAGTGAGTTCAGTTCTTTTAACTTGGAAAACCTGACTCTGCACAGTTCATGAAGGCAGCGCTGTGCTGTGAGTTCAAGGTGTGGCCTCCAATTTCCAGTTGTATGGCCTTGACCCTCAAATCTGTGGCTTACCAGCTGGATAAATGGACAATTACCTTCATCTCACCTCTGTCCCTTAGCTGCTTCTCTTAAATAGGAGCAAAAGATGATGCCTTTCTGATCTAGTGACTGTGATGATTAGAAATGATCCTCCACACTGGAAGCCTGGTATAGGACCTATAACTGGATGTTGTCACTCGATTGACCCCATGTGTCAGAGTAGAGCTGTGCTCCACAGGGTTACCAGTGGTTAGGATTTGAAAAGATTTTTAGGTGTTTATACCAAAGTGCCTCTAGAGTAAAAGCTGAGTGGATGTCACCTGCTTTAAGGAAAAACTGAAGGCAAGGCAAGTCAAACCACATGGTACCATGACATAAGTCATAGACCAATGTGGGGATCAAAGAGAAGAAATGGCTTCACTCCTCACTGGATACTGTGGCTTACGGACCTGACTCCCTCTGATCAATATCTTTTAGTGCTTGTGCTGGTCTTCAGTTGGCATTCAATTTTAAAAACTGTTATCACTATATAAGCAAAGCTTATGACCAGCCTCTTCATCTACCCTCCTCCCCTCCTCCACTGTTCCCTAAGGATGGCAGGAGTCAAGGCAGCCCAATCATTCACTTTATTATCTTCTTTATGGAAACACTGCTGCTGCCCAAATGCCTGCTGGGGAAGGATTCTGAGAATGAGGATTGGCAAACGGGGATTTAAAGGAGAGGTCTCCCCTCCCCTTTCACCACATGCTTGGGCAGAAGAAGAGTTTATAGACTGTTTTCCCTACCTTCTGAGCCACGTGCACTGGAAAGTTTGAAATATTTTGGAACAAACACCTATTGGTTTTTCGGTCTCAGTCACTTGGACGTGACAGCTTGCTGTTTACACAAATGAGCTGTTTGATGGCACAGGTGACTCATGCACATCGTCACCTGGTCTCAGTGCAGAGAAGCAGAACAGTTAACCAACCCATCATGCTGTGTCTTAACTGTTAGATGTTCTTTGAGAGGTAGAAAAATACACACTGAAATTTTTCTCCTGCTTATTTTCTTCGCGAGAGCTGCTCTGACTTCAAGTGGAAAGTGTATGGCCAATATCTGCAATCGATGTGGGCATGTGATTGCAGGTCTAGGGGTCAAGGTCTTGTCCAACTCTGGCTGGGGGGGGGGGGGGGGGGGCGAGAGCTGCTGTTAGTGCTACAGGACCGCTGCTGCGGGGTTCACCTTTAGATCTCTGAGCCTGCACCAGAACCCGAAGCTGAAGGGAACTCCTCAGACTGAGGTCAACTTCAGACCGAGGGACAAGTCTAATGTGGACGTCTATTTCATTCATATTTTTAAGTCTCACTTATCCATTCTGAAAGAATGCTGGGAAGTTAAAAAGCATTCTTCTCCCAGGTAGCCCATAGCTAGAAGAATTCTGGCTTCCAAACTTCCAGTGAGTAACAACAGCATAGAGGAGACCACTGGGACAAATCCCAGCCTCTGTAAGCCATCTCCTTCCTGTTGAGAGCTCTCATTTTGTTTTAGTAATCACCCACAGCAGACACCCTGTGGACAATAGCACTTCTTAGAGTGGGGACGAGGGGGTCATGGATGGTGGTACAAGGAGAGCAGACAAAAGAAGCAGCTCCCACAGGTACTTGCCAGGGAAGATGTGTGAGCCCCGTCCAGGCAGCAGTCCGGATGGTGCTTCTCATCAGGTGGGGCTCAACTCATTAGCATGCAATGCCACTTTCAAAGTTTTGATCACAGAGCACAGTGTCTGCAGGTTAGCCACTTGAATCCAGATGCCTCCTTCTTTCTATTCTAACAAAGGGAGCCCCTTTGTAAGCACTTGGAGACAACATGAGCATAATTACCAGAGCAATGTCAAAATAATAAATGGAAAGCAAGCAACCTCACATCTTGTGAGATCCTTCCCTGCCTGGCTCTCTGCAAGTGTGACTTTAAGCAGGAAACGAGACAACAGGAATTTTAGTGTTCTACCCTATTGCTATAGAAACGGCAATGACAGAATTGTGTAGTTCTTTCCCCCCACCCTCCAGTACCTCCTCTCACCTGACACAAAGACCTGAGCACTAATTACATCCCCTTGAGCAGTTTCCACCTGACAAAGAGTCCTCTAGATCACTTAGATTCATTTATTTTAATTGTGGCACTACCTCTGGGTGGCAAGAGTCCGCACTACTGTTGACAGCAGCTGCCCGTCCTTGGCTGAAACTTGCATGACATACTGTGGCTGCCCATTCGCTAGGCTGCCACAATCCTCCACGGTCTTCACCACGGGCACAGTGGAGCTGGTGCAGTCTGGCAGGACTTCAGGCAGGTGACTGCAGCGGCTGGTTGTCATGGTAACAGACAGCAATTACTCTGCTAATGGCTTCCACATTCATACAGGATTTCCATCTAAGAGAGATCAGAAAACAGTTTACTTGGACAGGGTAGTTGAACAGAAAATGGAGAATTATAGACCACCAACGTTATCATGCCGTTACTTAATACAAATAAGAGGGGTAACCACGACACATCGGCTTGTTAACAGTTTCACACATGCGTGCACACACACGCAAGGGCACACAAAAAACAGAAGTGGATACGAACAAGGCTGCAAACACGCTGGTGTATGTAAACATTTCAGAGTTCTTCGTTCCACAAGGCGGGAGTGAGGGCTCTGAAGCCCAGATCCAAAGAGAAGATAAGCTATGCCAGGGAAGCATTAAGTCTTTGTTGACATTCTCTAAAAAGTTACTAGAGTCATTAAAAACTATTCATAACAAATTTTTTTCCTACAAGCAATTTATTCTCTACGCAGCTTCATTCTTAGTTCTGGAGATTTTAAAAAAAGAGATAGAAAATATAAAAGCAGATTTGGCCAACTAGCACCTTCTAGGACAGTATTTGTCTAGCCAGTGTCCCGACTTTTGCCATATTTGTGTTCCCAAATGTAAACATTTACATAATGTTTGGAAAATGAATTTATCTTTGAAAATGTAACCTACTTTAAGGATTATAGTAAACAAAATTATTCAGGAAATCATGTATTTCAGGATCTTGTTCTATTTCTCTCCTGATGCATATTAATGTATATATCTATTATCTTAATTTTTGTTTGTATACTACCTAAAAATCAAATGGCACATTAAACACAGAGAAACACATACGAGAAGGCAAGCGACTGATGAATGAGTTCTCCACTGCCTATTGAAGATAATTCATTCCTGACGAAGGCTTTACCTCCCTGACACATGGTCTATCATACAAACCACAGAGAATTATGCTCCTGAACTGTGTAGTGCAGGCTGAGACGGTAACCTCACGTTCAAAGCATTCAAACCCTCTGGAGTGCAGTACCCCAATGGACCCAATAAGAGGTCTGTGTATGGTCCCTAAGAAATAGAGGCCTTCATAGGACATTTACAAGAGGACTTAGCTATGTCCAAAAGTGAAATGACGCAGTTCCACAGTCCACTTGTGCCTGTCTGCCCAGTCTATCCACCTCAAGCTCCTGAACCCCACACTGCCTGGGTTCAGCACAGAGCGGCAGGGCTCCCTGATAGACTGAATTCATACCAAAACCCAGTCTTAGCTGAATAATGTTAGCAGAAGAACTGCTGCCGTAGTAGGTGGGCGCTGCTGGGTTGGAACTCACAGCTGACTCTCCGGTGGGTTTTCAGAGACACTTGATTGCACAGGAGATTCCCCGCCTTTCTCCTGTGGAGTTGCTGGAGGGTTTGAACAAAGTGCCTGCCTTTAAGTTGACAGAACAATTCCTTACCACTACCTCACCAGAGCTCCCCAGTAGGAGAGAAGGTACATGTATATTTGTACCTTGAAATAATGGTTTATTTTGAACTAGCTTGATAACAAAACCATTTTTATGGTTCAGACCTCAAGCGTGAAAAAAAGAAAATCTTGTCTCTTCTCTAACTTCAATAGGATTTTTGGAATACCTCCAAGGGCTGCTTTCTCTCCCATCTTTGTCACTATTTATTACATTTTACTTGCTTCCTACAGATCTGGAAGAAAGGACCTTTCCAACTCCCAGCACGGGGTAGACAATGTGCACAGACTGGGCTTTCTCCATTTGGACACCAGCATTTCTGAATGAACTTGAGCTGACACTTTCTATCCTAATAACCATATGTCAAGTGGGTTGGACTGTTGGAGAGAATTGGATGTGAGCATAATCCCCTCCTTTCTGCTGAGGTGTCGGGCTGGCCCCGCTCCGCATCATCCTGCCACCAGTTCTCAATTGCAGGTCCGAGTACTGGCGACAGGGACTGAGCGCTCAAGGAATAATGGCAATACAGTAGTTTGGTATGCTTTCAGATAGAATTTGTTGTGCATGTGCATTTTTTCAAAAAATAAGAGCAAGAAATGCACTGCTACAGAAAGTATGGACAAACACAAAGAAAACAGTCAAATCATGGTCCCACTCCACCTGGATAACCACCATCAAGATTTTGGGGGGATGTCTTTTTGCTTTTGGCAGGGCCGGCAGGGTGGAGTTGAGTTGGGACCAGATAGTGACTTTCTTTTATTTTACACTTAGCTTTGGTCGCTCTCAGGCCACAGAACAAAAGCATGTTAAAAAGATCATCCTCTCCTAAAACTGTGTCTAACCTTCCTCGTCTGGCCTCTCATTACAGAACCCTATTGATACGATTTTCAATTTTCATAATGCCTCGCAGTCACAAAGTGTAACTTCCTGGCACAGCACTCTCACTTCACAAGGCAGCCATAGATTAAGAGCCAGGGGTGTGCTGGCAGGAAAGGCAGACACAGTGACCTTCTTGCCGCATGGAATGATTATGTCTGGGTGCACTGAGAATCTATTTTCGGATTTTGCATAACTCCAACTCAGAGGGCCAAATGCTCCCTCCCTACAGTAGTTGAAACAGCAAGAGGGTGCAGAGTGTATAAATGGGTCTGGGGGTGGTAGGTGTTCAGCTGACTTTAGTGAAGTGGCTGTCACTTAGGCACACCACACCCCAAAATTCATTCAAATGGACTACTCATCAAAGGAAGTAGTTGTGAATGAATGACCATGATCAGCAAGAAAATGCTCTCAAAAATTCAAAAAGTGTTTCCTTTAAGGGCACGTTTCATCTGTAATTTCACTCCTGGACGATATACTTCATTTCACTTATCTTCTCAAAGACAAAAGAGGTAGAAGTTGATTCCATTTACACAGAGTTTGGCATAGAGGAACAAAAGGTAACTAACTCTACCTTCCACACACAAGTCCTACCTCTTGTACCATCTCTGTAGAGTTCTTTACTCAAGAACTCCAAGACCTCATCTAACTGCATATATGTACATATGTAAAGAAAGGAATGCTAATAATCAAGGCAGTTTCCTAAGAGTCTCATTCACTGTGACCTCCACTACTTTAGAACAGTGCTCCAGAGAATTTTCAAGACTCTGATCTTTCACAGTGACTGCCACAAGGGGCTCTAATGTGTCAGGAAGTGTGAGAGTGGCACAGGATAGGATAGGATTCAGAGCTGTTCATAGGGTTGCTATGAGTCATGTTCGACATGATAGAACCTAACAACAACAAATCTTTCAGAGAGAGATAGCCACATTGTTGGTGAGCTTGGAAAATGGTACAACCACTCTAGAAGGCAGTTTGGCGCTTCCTCAAAAAGCTGAACATAAAAATTCCACATGACTCAGCTTTTCCACTACTTGGAATATGTTGTCGTTGTATACCGTTGAGTCAGAACCGACCCATAGCTAACTCTTCGGTGGGTTTTCAGAGGCAGTTAAATGATTAAAAGATTGCCATCTTTCTCCCATGGAGCAACTGGTGGCCTTGAACCACATGCCTTCAGGATTGCAGTGCAGCTCCTTGCCACTAGGCCACCAGAGCTCCCTGATAAAATGAGAACTGGGGCACAAATGGAGACACGTACACCAATGTCCATAGCAGCATTATTCAACATTGCAAGAACATGGAAATAGCCCAGATGTCCAACCACAAACATATTGAGAAATTATGGTACATTCACACAATAGAATTCTACAAAGCACATCACACAATGGAATACTACATAGCACACAGGAGCAATGATTTTGGAGGGACTGGAGAGCATTATGCTGAGTGAACTAACTCACAAGGTCAAATATTGTATAAAACCATTATTGTAGAATGAGTATAAGGATCTAAGGAGGACAGGAGGGTGGAAGTAGAGGGATGAGGATGTGCACGGGGAGAGGGGAATTAATCATGGGGTTGTACAATTTGATGGGCTGGGAGGGTGAGGGAAATTGGAAATAATTCGTCTGGAAAACAATGTATTCTAATGTTTAATAATAATAATAATAATAAAAAAATAATAAAGCAGATAACCAGATCTTGGCTGATCACTTAACTGCATCAACCAGAATCTCTTATCTAACTTCTTGTTGCTACTTATCATTGAGTTGGAACTGACTCATAGTGTTCAGAGCTATAAATTGCACAGGAGGAGATTGCCCATCTTTCTCCCACAGAGCAACTGGGAATTCAAATCTCATGCCTTCAGGCTGGCACATAACTCCTTACCACTAGCCTATGACCTGCTTAAAAAGATACTCTAGTCCAGCACGTACACTGAACACAACAGACCAGAGCAACCTTGAGATACCAGGACCAATAGTTCAGAAACCTGACAAGGCAGTTATGAGTCCAGAGCACCCCAACAGTCCAAAAGACCACACCTCAAATTGCAAGTGAGGTAGAAAGGGTTTAACAGGGCCTCAGCACCCTGAAATCTGGTGGCAGGGACAGACTGTCTAATAAGGTAAGCAAGGGCTTATTTACTAATTTGAAGTGAATAGTGCCACATGGGTTTTGCTGTATCAAGATTTCACCCATGTGACATTGTTCACTGCAGATTAGTAAATAAGCACAAAACAAACAAGCCTGCTAATCTTGTGTATTCAGTCCTCTTCGCCTGTCAGAGGCTGTACATTTGAGAAGAGGCTTTGATTCTCTAGGATGGTGGTGTGGGGTTGAAGAGACAGCTGCTAGCCAAAGCTAGAAATAGAATTTGGATGTGACCAAAGAAAAACACAAAACACTGTTTACTATAAATTATAAAGGGAGCTCTGGTAGTTAAGTGGTAAGAAGCGGCATTGCAATCCCAAAGTCATGTGTTTCAAATCTACCAGCTCCTCAGTGGGACAAGGACAGGCAGTTTCCTCCAGTGTGATTTACTGCCTCTGAAAATCTGCTGGAGGGTCAGCTATAGGGCAGTTCTGCCTCAGTAACAACATAAATTATTAAGTAGGCACAGGTAAATCCATGCTCACTCTGCTTACTGGGTAATCCAACAGTTTTGATTGAGAGGGCTGGGCTGTTCCCACACCCACAAAAGTGGATCTAAATTACCTGTGCAGATGAAGGAGGCAGGAAGGGA